GTATATTCTCATCTTTACCTAGCACGAGGCCTTTTGGGAGCTCACTAGCTTTGGGTTCCATGGGAACTCCGAAGTTAAGTGAGTAGTGCCTGAAAGCATTCCCATGATAGGTGACCCACTGGGAAGTTCTTGTGCGAGTTCCCAGAAACAAAACCGTGAGGGCGTAGTAGGGGCCCAAAGCTAACAATATAGTGCTACGGTGGTGGAGCGGGCCAGGGATGTGGTGGATCTCGGGCCGAGATGTGACAATTTGGTATCAGAGCCTAACTCTGGCCGTGGTGTGCCGACGAGGACGTCAGGCCCCTAAGGGGGGTGGATTGTTACATCCCACATCACCCAGGGGAATGGACCATGTAAGCCTTATATGTATATTCTCATCTTTACCTAGCATGAGACCGTTTGGGAGCTCACTGGCTTTGAGTTCTATGGGAACTCCGAAGTTAAGCGAGTATCGCGTGAGAGCACTCCCATAATGGGTGATCCACTAGGAAGTTCTTAGAAACAAAACTGTGAGGGCGTAGTCAGGGCCCAAAGCGGACAATATCGTCCTATGGTGGTGGAACGTGCCCGGGATGTGGTGGACACCGGGCCGAGATGTGACACCACGTCGATCTCTCTCTGCCTTCTTCCATTCCCAATCCAACAACTTGTTCTCGGTGGGACTCATGCTTACATGATCCATTCCCTTGGGCAATGTGGGATGTAACAATCCACCCCTTTTAGGGGCTCGACGTCCTCGGCGACACGCCACGGCCTGGGTTAGGTTCTGATACCAAATTGCCACATCTCGACCCGAGGTCCACCATATCCTTGGCCCGCTCCACCACTGTAGCACGATATTGTTCCTTTGGGCCCCGACCATGGCCTTCTTGTTAAGCCCAAAACAGGTAAAGTCATGATGAGGATCTGCGGGGGGATGAATTTTTTGGGTTTTGATGTTTTCTTCTTTTGGGCTTGAAATCATTTTGCATTTTGATTAATTTGATGGGTTCTATCTCTCTTTTTTATATGATATGAAATGTATCTTTTTTTTTAAGAACTAATTTTATGGGTCGAGAGAGACTTCATGAAATATGAAAATGATGACGGGAATAAGAAGAGAACCAGGAAACGGACATTGCAATGCAGTGTTTGAATATAAATGTAAAATAGAACCAGAAAATGGACACTGCATTGCAATGTCTAAATCAAAATATAAAAACGAAAAAAAAAAAAAAAACAGACACTGCATTGTAGTTTCCGAATCAAAATGTTAAAAAAAGAAAAACAGAACTGGGAAACGGACACTACATTGCAATGTCTATATCCAAACGTAAAAATAAATAGTCGTGCGAATAATGGACACTGCAATGCAGTGTCTTAATCCAAGTGATGAAAAAATGGAACCAGGAAATAAAAACTGCAATGCAGCGTCTGAATCCAAATGTAAAAATATATGAGAAATGGGGTGTCAATTGAAGTGGGTGCTAGCAGTAGAGGCAGATTACATGCATTTAAGTGTCAAAATACATGATTGACCTATTTATAAATAACATAAATATTGTTGATCTATGGTCAATATGATAACTTTGTATTGATTTTATACAAAATCACCCATTTTTTAATATATATATATATATATATATATATATATATATAATACTTTGTAAACACTCTTAACTAAAAAATGAACATAAAGGAAGATGGTGTGGTAATAATTATCAGCAAAGTGGGGTAATAAATTTTAGGAAAGTGGGGTAACAAAAAGTATAGAAAAATGAAAAGTGAAGACAAAGAAAGATAGTGGGGTAATAAATATCAGCAAAGAGAGGTAATAAATATAAGCAAAGTGGGTTATAAAAATTTTAGAAAAATGAAAAGTAAAAAAAAAAAACAACCTCATAGCTATCTTCATCTTCTTCGCTGGGCAGACTCTGCAACTCAAAGAATTCCAGATTTTTGCAACTTAAAAATGAAAAAAGGACGCCTCAGGTGCGCCTCAGGTGCGCCTCAGGCGAGCCTCAGCCACCTAGGCGCGCCCCATGAAGCCTAGGCGAGTATGTCGCCGACTCCCACAAAACAGAGGCAAAAATGTTGAAGCCTTGCCTTCAAGGCGTGCCTCGAAGCAAATTTTTTAAAGCACTGCTTGATATCCCATTGGTGAGCAAGTCTATACCTGCCACATACATACATTGTAATAATAAGGCCGTGGTAGACTTAGTGAGGCAAAGTTACATCTTTGGACTATGTGAAGTCAAAAAAGAATATTGCTGATCAATTAACCAAAGGTCTATCTAGGAATGGAGTCCTAGATTTGTCGAGGAAGATGGGCTTAAACCTATAACGAAGTCATCTACGGAGGAAACTCAACCTTTGTGATTGGAAATCCCATGAAGAGGGTTCATTGGGTAAAAACAATCCATATTGTGTGACTTATATTCCAGCACTCTAAAATATGAGATTTGAAATAAAATCCCATGCTCATCCCTATGATATTTGTGCTGATGATGTGTGATGTTAAGGAATGAGATTGTCCTGAATAAGTTCCAAGGCGAGCAATCTCTCGCAGGGTAAAAGTCACATGTACTTTTGGAGGACTCACCTAAGTGAGAGTAGTCGTGAGGCCGTGATTGTTAGAATTGGATTGTTCTCTAATAACACTCATGAAATCAAGATTAAGCGCATTGGAATACCCTGAAAATTTAAATATATGGAATAGAATATTCATAATTATGAATATGTGGAGAAAATCGAAAATAAATCAATTTATGGTTATGAAAATCAAAATTTAGGAATTTTAAAATTTTGATAATTTACATATTGGTATTATTGAGATTTTATATTATTTTTCGAGAATTTATTTGAATTGAGTTTTAAATTAAACTAGTTACCAAGTTTGAAGTTTGGAAATTAATTATCTAAAATCCATAGACCCTTCAAGGTCACAATTTATATGTTTGAATAGAGCTTGATTTCTTGAACGTGTAGGCGTAAACCGTTCGTGAACCAGAGTTCTAACGAAGAAGTTATTAACGTTGAAATTCAAGGATATTTTTGTAATTTTAACATTCATCTAGAAGGCTCCAGATTTTATGGAGTAATGGATGTGCCACATGTGTGGCTGTAATGGAAAGGAAAGGAGAGAAAATGAGGGGGTGGACGAATCAAAAGGGGGGGAGAAGGTTCCCTCCCTTCGACCCGCCGACCTGACCTGCTTCCATTTTCCCCTTCCAACGACTTTTCATCGATTTTTTCGATGCATCATGGCAAACCACCACCTGGGAAACCTTCCCCGATCCTTTCTCTTCCATTTGCACCTTAAATCAAAGGAGTTGGGCCTAGTTTAACAATAATGGAGCCTGCCGGTGTAAATGGGTGCACGACGGCGATTCGCCGTATGTGGGAGGCACCACCGTCGACTACCACCATCACTCAAATCCTCTTGAGACCAGGAACAAAGCCCAACCGAGGTTGGGGGCGTCGAAGCATCCATGGAGCCAAATTGACAACTGCCCATATCGAGGGTTTTCGACGGCTCGAGGGGTTTTCTGGCCACTTCCCGACCGAACTAGGGTTCGGCCCCTGTATGAAAAAGTTCCTCTCCTTGAGTTGTACATTGTTACAAAATTTGGTAATTTTTGGAAATGGTTAAATTTTCTGGCGAGTCAGGGTAGCCGAGCGCCACCCACGACGGTGTGTGGCTAGTGGGCCGATGCTGCCATTTTGTACAAATTTTGATATTCTAAATATGAATTTGGTATCCAATTGATGTGTTTCGATTATTATACCCAATGTTGGTTATTTTGGTTACTTGAATGTCTTTGGAAATGGAATGAAAATGAAAGATGAACTATGAAAGGCTTGATCCCGCATTAAGGGTAAGTAGGTAGTCTAACAGGGGTTAGATGCAGCCTTAAATAATTGAGATTAAATTTTTTTTTTTTTTTTGTTGGAAATTTGAGGGAAGAAAAGAAATTATGGTGATTTAATTGATTATTAGAATCTTATGTTTTTGGTAAGTAAATTTTGGTTGTAGATTTTGTGAGTAATTAGGAATTTGAAATAAAGAATAAGGTTTAATGGTAGTAAAATAAAAAAGAGTTTGAACTAGCACTATCATCGGAATTATTTCCCAAAAATAAATATTTGGGGTCGGGGCGTTACACGCATGGCCATAAATAGCGTTGACTCACGCCAAGTTTTTTATCAATACTGTGTGCGACATATGTTGTAATCTGAATTACGAGGTTATCCAGTTCAACACTTAGTTTCCTATGATTCCTTCAAGCGAAAACTATGAACAGTAAGTGTAGGTTCAAGTCCAAAAGACACCTATACCTGTTGCATAGTATACAAATTGCCCAAACTTCGATTTTTCAAATGTGTCTATTTTATTCCTAATAGAGTTTTGAATCATTGTGGGGTTTTGTCAGTTATTTTAAGTATTTTACTTGATTTTGTTTTAAAGATTCAAAACTTATTATATTACTTATTTTTAATATCTAAGAGTTGTGTTTTATTTGAAGAGTCGTATCCTTTTTCGAAGGGGTATGAGGAGTTCTTTAAATATGAAACCTCATACAGAAAAATAGAATATGCTAAAAATTATTATTTCTCCCTCACTCTTGATGATCAATTCCTGCAATCCTTTTGTTTTATTCCTTGTGCAATTGATTATTACTTGGCAATTCCGTCTGCCGTTGGCGTGAATAGCAGATTAGCCATCCTATGAGGCTTTGGGTTGTATCTTGGAGCTGTAGACACCGCCATAACCTTCACGTGGGGAGGCGTCTACAACTTGCAATGACATTGCACTCTCTTTGGTTCACAGGCCATAATTTCTTATTCTTTTTTTTTTCTCATTTAAATTTCACAAGTCTGATAGTAATTACACATTTAATTTGTTATATTTGTTTATGTAAATAGTTACTATAATTTTGCAATATATTTCACAATGTCGCTACTATGTGATTCAATAAATCCACATCAAGAACTTTCAACTTTGCACTACATTACTTTGATTTCTTGACAAAAATAATAGATACTCTTATTGATTACAACAGATAGTAGGTTAAGGGATATTATTACAATTTAGGTCAAACATCACCCAACACAAGTTAACCTCACAAGAATACAATAGTACGACAACAAAACAAGTGTAAAATTTACATTTTACAGCCCAAGAATAAATGGAAAACCAGAAGATCTAATCCAACTACCACCAGCAATAAAGTTCCCTGGCGTAAACGCCTCAGCCTCAGCGGGACTTGTAATTACCTTAAACCCCTTCCACGTCACCCTATTTGCAATCCCAGCGCCTGCCCCAGTGTTAGCATACTCCCCATAAAACAAAGTGTCGAGGGCAAAAGTGCCAGACCACTCATGCCACCCAACAGGGTCAATGATATCAGTTATACTTGACTGCATGATCACAGTCCTTGAATACTCCTTCCATGGCCTTCCCAAAAACGTTTTGAAGCTGCTCTTTGTGGCTTGCAAGTCGGAAGTGGCGCCGATTCTCGATTTTTGGATGATGATGCCGGTGTTTTGATTTGGGTCAGTTCTGCCTTGTGCAGTGACCATGTTCTTCTGGCCGGAATTAGGTTTTCTTGCATGGATGTCACAATTTTGTAACACGACAGCAGCATTGCCGAAGATGAAGTCAACTGTTCCGGCTACCAAGCAACCTTCAAAAAACTGGCGATTCGAGTGCACGTAAAGTGAGTCTTGGTACGCAAGAATGTCGCAGTGGTAGAATGCTGAGAGATCGGACCCTACTCTTAGGGCAACAGCTTGGTGTTTTGATGGACCTGCTGTGTTTTGGAATGTTATGTCTTGGGCTAGAAACTTCTCACCAACCACAGCTGCAACCATAAATATTCACGTTTTTCATCAGATATTTGAAATGTTACGTTGTCAAACTCTTGACAACTCTCAGTACGCAATTGCCCTAATTTACTTGGAGCTTCTAGATCAACGATGCTTAAGCAGATTCTTAATCTCAATCCGTATACGTAATTAATGGTCTGTTTCATTTGTGAACAGAATCTATCAACATGGACATAAATTTTTCAATGTGACCGTCATACGGAATAATACATCACGTGTAGCTATATAAATGGTGAGATATGTGTGTTAAAAAATTAATAACTTAAAAAATAAAATTTCTCACGACTTACATAAAAATACGTGGTATACCACTCGTGTTCCTGTCACAACTAAAATTTTCTCCAACGTAGTGCAATCCAAGGCAAAAACAAACAAAATACCTACTCTGATTAATTGCGATTTAAATGGCTTTATTGTTCTGAAAAATGGGGACACCAATCATGAATGGAAAACATAATGACTCAGCTACAAACAGGCCAACGGCCAAACAAAGAACATGCATGTGGAGTACTGGCCAAGGACCAGGATCCAAACGGACCTGACTTCTCTACCCTTCTAGTTCCCCATACACTCTCATCCTTTTCTATTTGAATGAAGCAGGATGGTGAAACAACATTCAATTTAATTTTAAATGGTAGTACAACAAAGAACAAGGGTCGTGCGAGAAGATTATGAACAGAGTAATGCTAGGTAAATCAAATTTGTAAACTATTTGATAGGTCATCAATAAAAAAAACAACACGTTAATGAACACTTAAATAATAGTATAATCACCAACCACCGTGTCGTATGACATACACAATTTGGCATAAAAATTTAATTTCCCTAACATTACCCTTGTGAATAATCATGCCGCGAAAACCTACTTTCAACAGTTTTATTATCTATCTCTTTGTCCTCCTCATCAAGTGATCACGAGAGAAACATAGAGGAATGAGATCGGGATATTGAAATTTGAAGTATTCAGTTTAGGCAGCTGGTGTCACGCTAATAATATTTTATATGTACATAATTAAAATGGCGATGACTTGGTTGGGACAGCAAGAGGTGACACACATGGTCTAACATGGTTTGTTCTGATAGACACACAAAAACGACACCTTGTGATCATCAAAGATTATGCCCCAAATTATATTCAAAACTTTGAAAAAATAGAGTGTCGGTTTGATTGGTACCTTGATTTGGGCCTCAAATTTCACCATGATTGAAGGTACAACCACGAGAAAAGTAAAAAAAAAAAAAAAAAAACATGTAAAAAAAAAAATATATATATATATATATATACATAAACAAAAAAACACAAACAAACAAACAAAGTAGAAGGAAGCATCGAAGAAGGATCCTTTAGGATATGCTAAATTGCTATAGTGAAACTAGCTTCAAATTTATGAGCATGTAAAAGCCATGGCAAGAACACAAATTGAAAGAGGAGGGGCGTGGGGATGGCTGTAAAGTGTCGACCACGCCAACATTCAATCAAACAGACATAGACAGAGACATGAGGGCACAACACACATTATATTTCAACAATGACATATATCTAAATTGAGGAAAAGCTCGAAGTCGGATTGTTTGTGTTACGTAGCAGTGTTAAGCACCAAAAGAATCTGGTCAAAAATAAGATATCAACATCAGAGAGTGGTGCGTAATTAGTTTTTGAATCTCGCAAACACATGTTATTTTACCATATACAAAAACAATAGAGACACTGCCTGATGGTTCACTAATAATGTAGTCATAAATATTTAAAATATGATCAGAATTGGAAATGCAGAAAAAAAGAGCTGGGTGCTAAGAAAATTAACGAAAAAAACCATGACTTTTCTAAAAGCAAGGCCATGTGCTTGTGTGTTGGTACAAGTCCTCTGTCTAGTCAAATTGGTGGACCAGAAATTTGGAGATGATGTCCAAATACTAGATAAGGTTCGAATTCTTTTTGTGACAATTTCAAAATTTCATAAATTTAAAGAAACGGACATCATCACGAAATTCTTCGGATCTTTTAAAAAATGATTCGGTGGGATCTTTTTTCATTAATTAGGGACCTTGAAAATTAAAAATTGGACTTACCAACTGTGGCTGAGTTGAAAGTTGTGCTGCCATCGACGACATTTCTACTAGCAGTGATGATGGTGTTTACCCTCCCTTCTCCCAAAAACATAATGTTGGTCTTTTTCTTTGGCACGTCGACATTTTCTCTATAAACCCCCGCCTTTATTTTAATCACGTATCTGCTACTACTCTTCTCTGGGGCAGCAGCCACCGCTTCCGACACCGTCTTGTAGTTCCCAGTGCCGTCTGCTGCCACCACCACATTCGGCGTAACAGAAGACGACTGCAGCAGTCGCCTGTCCGCCACCGACAGCCAATCCGGCCAGCCGTGCTCGTCCACCATATCCTCCTTGAGTTTTCGGTTCACATTCATTTTCATCTCGTTTGCAATGTCGGTATCGGTCATGTTCTTGATCATGGCCAGTACATTACTGCACAATTTTTCTATGTGTTCCTGAGTGACGCCAATTGTGTAAATATCGGTGTTAACAGAAATATCGGCGGTCTAAAAACAGAAAAATTGGTAGGAATATTTCAGAAAAAAAGAGAAAATATATCAACAAAACAAACGTATTGATGTCAAGTGAAATTAATTAGTGAAGTAAAAATTGAAATGTAGATAGATAGTCCAAAAATATAGAAACATTATACAAAAGTAATTTAGAAAAACTTACATAAACATCCGCATAAAATATAATATAGAGAAATATAACAAAGTGAAATGATTTTTGAACAACCGTTTTCACACTCTCCACATTTACATCTATTTCTAACTTTTTAATAGAATAAATCAGATTATAATTAACAAAAATAAATAAAAAAATAGAATAAAAATGAAAGCGCAAAAATCATTTTTCATCAACAAAATATCAATATTTTCAGAAATTTACCTCACCAGCCAACAAAACTTTCCTAACTTTCTTATTAGCTCCATCATGCGAGAACCCATCAAGGCAAGTTTCTTGGTTGGTAATGGCGGAGCTTATCAAAGTTTTAAGGTCATCGGCATGCTGAACCAAAGTCTTCTTATTAGGGTAATCATGGAGATCCTCGACAGCCTCGTGGAGCTCGTCGAGGGTTTCGTCAATGGTCTCCAAACAGTCGTGGAGAGCGCCCTTCTCACGCTTAGCGAGCTTATTCTTCCTGGACTTCAGCAGCTTCTCGACGGTGAAGAAGATGTGCTGCACCGCCGTGGTCGTGATGTTCAGTGACAATTCTATCACATCCTTCTGGCTCGAAACCTTTTTGGAGGCTTCCGGGTGAAGGGCAAGAGTTGAAAAGCACAGATCAGGGTAGAGGGTGGAGCTGCATGAGAATTTGACTATGGCGTGGGAGGCCTCGATGGTTTCGTCGTCGGAGTTGTTTTTGGAGGACTTTACTCCGGTGACAATGCCGATGACGGCGCCCACGAGTAGGACGGTTGCGAAAAGGGTTATGAAGAGCTTCTTGTTTTTCTTGTTTGTGGATAATTTTTTGCCTGATTCGGACATTCTGGCTAAAAACTCTTTGATGTTGGCCATTTTCGAAAAAGCCTGTCGGAACTGGGAAGAGAGAAAATGGGCACAAAATTTAGAACATGGAGGACAAGAGAGGGGACTGATTGAGTTGGGACTGGAGGATATGGGGTTCTTTATAAAGAGTAATCCAGCTCAACTTTTTACATCATATTTGCAGATAATGTGAAGTATTACCAATAAAAGATAAATATATTTATTAGTATTTAAATAATAATTTAATTATTAACATCTATGTTATATAATTTTTAAAATAAAACTTTAACAGAAAATTTTCGGTATTATTTATTTTAACAAAAAATTATATTTTTATATTAAAAAATTAATGTTGATACTATTCACTTTACCTTTTATTTTATTTTTATTGTTAAAACTTAAAATTTTCAAACTTTTTTTTATTAATTTTCATTTTTTAAAATATAATTTATTTTTTTGAGCATTACTCTTTACATAAAATTAGTGAAGTAAATTGTGGTGGCTTTGGTCTGGTATATTGTCACATCTCGATCCGGGACGGATCACTTCCCAAACCCGCTCCACCACCATAGCACGATATTGTCGGCTTTGGGCTTACCATTCCCTCACGATTTTGTTTTTGGGAACTCACAAGCAACTTCCCAGTGGGTCACCCATCATGGGATTGCTCTCACGCGCTACTCGCTTAACTTCGGAGTTCGTACGGAACCCGAAGCCAGTGAGCTCTCAAAATGCCTCGTGCTAGGTAAGGATGAGAATATGCATTTAAGAATCACTCCCCTGGACGATGTGGGATGTCACATATATTGTTCCCCCTTGGAGTAAATTTTTGACGCACTAAAAGCATCATCACGTATTCTACTCAAAATAATGTTACATATTACTTTTATCATTTATTCTTATTATAACATGTAAAATATAACTTGACTTTTGTTCTCGTATGTACCCATAAAAATTTCTTATGTTAATCAGGCCATGTGACTTTCTGATGTAAACAAATTTTCTGTAATGGTTTCTTGTTCTTAACTTAAATCTATTTGCATGAATCATAACTATTTCTTTAATGGTAATTTTCTTTTCATCTTGAAAGAAATTTTAAATTCGAATCTATTCTTCATTTTCCAGATAAGGCAACACATACTATTATTTTATTTCTATTGTTATTCTATCTGAGGAGATCAAACTCCTGAAATATCTTGATCTTAGATCTTACTTTATTATTTTTATCACAACACCTATAATAACTCAAAATACAATCTAGTTATATGATCAGCTAGCATTCTTTTTTATGAGAAACGATTAATTAGCTAGGATGGTGTTCAAGTTTTTAACATTTTATCTGTTGAGCATATTATTTTTGCATGAATTATAAATGGCCATGCCGGTGCCCATTTTTCCTTGTATGGAATACTTTCAATTTTTAAGGAACAGAACCAGAATCCGGCGAAAAAACTACTCGAAAAAAATTGACACAAAAAACGAGTAACTGACAGAAAAGCACCTCCTTCATGACCTTTCGGGGAAGGAGGGGCAAGATTCTTTTGATCACGCTGAACTTCTTTCCTCTTTTACTGTGAAACATTTCGTCTTTTATGATTGTATCCAGTATTAATAAAAGCTTATCCCCTCCTGTGGGCAGTTCCACCATTTGCTAAGGTTTTTAGGGTTATTCATTATTTAATTTATTTAGTAAATATTAATTATTTTTAATAAACAGTAATTATTTTTTACATTTTCATCCCTACATTAAATAACTTTTGTAATAAGTAATAAAATATTAGTATTTTTTTAAATAATACAAAAATAATTTTATTTGTAATTTCGGATAGGATTTTTAATTAATCTCATTGTACCACTTTCTATTAAAAAATTTATTTTTATTTTTAAAATTTTTTCTTTTCACATGGTGCAGCACACCATTCCAAAATCTTTGTTTTTTTCCTATGGTGCCGATGCACCATACCAAAACCTTTTTTTTATTATTATTTTTTTCTTCATTTCACATGGTGCCAAAGCACCATTCCAAAAGCTGTGTTTTTTTTTAGTTCAGCAGCTCTCTTTCACTTGAGCTCCCGAGGCAGGCCCTTAGACTCTGACAACATCAATAGCTGATTTGTGCAAAAATTTAGTTTTTCCTTAGTTAAGTAGGTAAAGGATTGCCAACTCCTTAGTTAAAATCTTTCTCTCTCTCTCTTTTTCCCCCAAAAACAAATCCCAAATCGTGCGATCTGGGCGCGCGAGTGGAAGGAGGGGGATCGCGAGTGCGTGGAGGCGAAGGCGGTGTGGGGTGCGGCGGCAGCTGAGGTAGATGAGGGACTGGATCTCTTCCATTTATTTGTGGGTGTATCATCAGCCTTGGCGACGAACTCCGACGAGAGCCGTTGAGTTCGAAGCTTACCGGGTTTTACATTTTTAAAAATTTTTATTAATATTTAATATTTTTATTAATTTTATATTGTGGTTGACGTCGCCTTGACGTCAGCCCACATCACATTACCTTTGGGCGCTCGGGCTGGCACGAATCGTCGGGCCTCTCGCTCAGACTTGCTCGGGCTCGCTCGCCAACACACGCTGGGCTTCATCTCTTGGGCTACATGCCCTTGTTCCTGCACCTATCCCTCGGGCTGGAACACACGATGGACTTACCCTAACTAAAGACCCCTACTCCCGCTCCCCGTATAGTTGGGCCACAAAAAGAAAAAGATACAATGTACATAAAACACAATTTCGTACATTTGTTTTAATATTATTAGTTAAAACTTTTTAATAAATTATATTATTATACTTAGTGTACCAAATTATATGCTCGGCACAATAAAAAATTTATCTAATATGGATTATCTTCCTCCCTTTATCTCATATTTGAACGTTCGAGATTAAATCACATAATCATTTTGTTTTTCCTTTTTTGTAGAGAGAGAAAAGAGGAACTGATAAAGGAGGGAAGGGATGGAAGGAGAAAAAGAATAGGAGAGAATCCAACTCCTCGCAAAAATGTATGATCTCGTGATCCGGAACATTTTAAATAAATTCGAGCCGTTTGGTTTTGTTTTACATTGAATTTTTTTTTTTTAACGTTTTTATGAATAATTTTGGCCTTTGAACCGAATAAATAAAAACAGAATTAAGTAACAAAAATAGATGTGAATGTACGTAAATCATTTTCTTGGAAAAGCTGGGTTCATCGCATTTTATACCCTTTCACATTTATCACATGCTACTTTATCATTCTCTGATTTCTTATTGTCTCTGTTCTGATTTTGATAGGTGCACTTGACATGGCATTTCCACTACACCTCTCACTTTCAAAACGATAAGTGTCATTGCAACGCCATTTTGTGATCTTATGATTGAGAAATAAGATTGGAATAAGCTCCTTACAATAATCGGCTAAGTCGGATGTAATCAAATCCATGTGTCGGTGAGTGTTGCAGTTACGAAGAAAAGATGAATTTAAGTTTGAGGATTCAGCTGCTTGTAGCTACATGGAATTCTCGTGCTCCATCTTGCCTAAATTAAAGAAAGTGGTACCAACAATTTTTGGAGATTAAATGTGAAATCTTGTGGCTCTTTTGACTGGCTAGTGGTCCATAAACTTGTGGTGAAACACTGCATGAGTTTTAATTAAGATGCTCACTTTGAAATAGTGCATCTATATACAAGGAAACTTTTTATGTGAATTACGAGTAATGTTAGAAAGTTCATATTTTGAAAGTTCATATTTGAAAGATCATATTGTATTTTCCTTATAATAAAGGTATAAGGGTTTGCCAATACAAATAGGTCATATTACTATAGTTCAATTGCAACAGTGGTACATTGTGATCTCTAAAAATTTTCTTACAAGTACTATAGTAACCAATTGATAATCGTCCACAACTTCAAAACCCCATAACTACGTATCCTATACAATAAGTTTTTCAAATATGAAAACTCGTAGTAATTATGCTGTCAACCAGTATTTAGGCAGTATGATTTCTGATACCGGACACATTCTAGTATCTTGGAGTGATACCCTTATGCCAAAACGCCAGTTCACAGTTTCCGGGTAGCGAACAATATCAAAATATCATATGTGCGTTAATTAGTGGTGCAACTAATAGATCGATTGACAGTGACTACCTGAGCTGAAGAAACTAAATCATGGAAACTTAAGAGCAAGCTTTGTATTAGGATAGTAAACTCATGGTTGTTTTTACCTTATCACCTATCTAGGTAAACAAAACCTTTTCGACTAGCCACATTTTCAATCACTTCCACAGGTAGACATTAGAATTGAAGCACGAGCCATTTTTCTAGCTGTAAGAACAATTTGAGTATTGAGAAAGTTACGAAGACCTTTTAGTACGTGTCGTAGAGAAAGGAAGTAGTATGATACGTTTCGAGGATGTATACATTTGGCGTTGATTCTCAAAATTTTACCTGGGATATCACCAAATGGTGAAGTGAAGTATACCATCGATCTACTTTCTTGTACTACACCAGTTTTCCTTACATCTTTTCGAACAACTCCTTTGACATTGAGGAAACTTAGTTGCGGAAGTTTATCAATTAGAAATTTACCCAACCAGGAACCAAACACTTTATCTAGGGAACCTCAAATCTATCCACGAAGGTGAAAGGCCGAACCTTGGGATTGTACCTAGATTTTACCAACTCAATCAGGTGACGATTAAAACTGTTAATACCCATACTTCGAATTGGTCTATTCGACCAACCTTTGTAACTCGAGTTCTCTTCCATAGCCTAATGGATTTATAGTAGTCTTACAGATGGCTTTCTCACCTACCTTAGCAACGAGAACAAATTTTCTAAACACCGACAGTCAACTTTATACCAAATTGCTCAACTGTTAACTTTGATTAAATTAGTACTTATCTCGGAAGACGTGTTCTCAGTGGACGATATTCTTTTTCTTCTCCCAAAAAGGTTGTAGTGGAAGAAAGTTAGAATTCCCACAAAGTGTTGTGAAATGTGAGATATAATGTGAGATATTCTTACTCTTGTCGATTTTATTGATAATTTGTTAGCGATTTTTCAATTATAGTGTCTTTCTTCACATATCGACTGAGGAAAGTGAGTTTAGTTTGGGATGTTGGATATGAATAAAGTTTCTTACAACCGA